GGCGGGCGTTCGACGAGTTGCCGACAAGCAGCTTAATTTGGCAGTCATCTCCTCCCAAGATGTCCAGTTTGGAAATCTCTGAGCCTAATTGAGTATTCGTCAAATGCCGGATTACCAATCCGGACATCTGTCCGCTCGGGATGGCCGAATTGGAAAACCTCCGACGGCAGACAAGTCTTTTGACCACCGGAGGTCAAAAAAATGTCTATACGAGTTGCGAGGATCCCGAATGCTTTGTCGGTGAGTTCCTGAACTTTTTCCGGAAGTCTTTAGCATGGGATGCTTGTTGAGACCTTAAACCGACTGCAATCTTCCTTCCGGTGGGAGAGTTCCGAATGTAGCTCAGCTCAGACACCGATGATGTGGGGTTTCAAGGCCGAAGAAATCCGGTCCGTCACCGTCTTCTCTCGCCTGAAATTCCGACCTTTCGCGTGTCACACTATGCGATTTGCTCTAACTCTTTCTCTCTCTATGCCGGCTAAAGATTCTGACTCCAAATACAATTGTGGCTGGAGTCCCGAACGCGATGAGTATTGTGCCAACCTTTGGTTATTCGGAATACTTAATATCCGGAACTGCCGGATTAACTTTCCCGCGGCTATTTTTGATGCTCTTTGAGGGAACTCTCTATTGCAATTCCGGCCGGCAAAACTCTCCCGAAAAGGTCTGTGTCGTCGTGACATGCTATGTGTGATCGTCCGGCTTGTAGCATCCAAGTCCATGCGCTTCTTGTATGAATCATTACCTGTGCTTTTTGGATGCCACCTAAGATCTAGAGGTTGATTGGGGTAGATGCACAATGCACCTCAACCAGGGTATGGAGAAAGGGATTTGGTTGACTACAATATGATCTGTGAGGGCTTCTTAGCATCACCATCACGTCTAAATGTTTGACTTTAGGCAAAATCGATAGATGCAAATGTGTATGTCGACCTAATTGAAGTGCTCCATGGGTAGGTTAGGTTGTAAAAAGAGTGGCCACGCGGCTTGGCCACGTTCTTGTTTATCAGTAGGTTTCAGCAGAAATTGAGTGGGCATAATGCGATATCACCAATACCGAACATGATGGCATCGCACAATCATTTGCAGTTTCTCTGTTGCGAAATACCTAGTCAATGTGTAGTTAACTTTGCTAAATGTTACATGAGCCATGCAAATCGTAATCAAGGGTGCTGAATACACCTACCCTCCAAACTCAAGCTGCTGGTAATTGGCAAGTTCTCACACCCAGAAACACCCCAACTTCCGTAAATGGTCTGAAGTGTGTCGAAAAGTGTTTCCATTTTCCTATCTCCCGACCTTGAAGCGGAAGCGTGTTAATGCCGTGCTGGCAGCCCTATCCGACAGGCCTCGTGACATCAGTGTCTGGTGCAGCAATCCCAGCCGATACCGTAGTTGCAAAGTACAGTCACACATCATCAAGTCTCTGTTCTTTGAGCAGTTCTTTTCGTTGTGCCTGGCCGATTTATGGGAAGATTTGTGTCAAGAGGCCTCTGCGCGTATGATCGTCCGGATGCTTCCTTTGAAATCCATGCATGCAGTACTCCCGAGATCCGAGGTGACAATCTGAGCGGCAAGGGGTACATGAGATTGAAATTCAGACGGAAACCAGCAAGCTCGGGTGGCTGATGTTTGTCATGTTCGCTGTGCGACTCGCATTTCCAACAGGTTGTTCACCTTACCCTCATCTCCATGCAACTAGATGCGACCTTCAAGAACGTTCATTTAGCCGACGATGTGGCAATCACAGGCAAAGTCTTCTTCTCTCTGGGCACCCTTCTTCTTCGGTCTCGGACAGCTAAATTTAGAACATGTAAATAAACTCAAGCTAAACCTTCTTCCAATGGAAATTTCCCCCATCTATCTATGTCCTTCCAAGTGATATGAAGTGATGTAAACTTCTACACTAGAACCCGTGCAACAAAGCGTCAATACTCCAGAAGAGACGGCGCAGTGGTTCATTGAAGTATGATCGACCGGATCTTGCCCCTCAACATTCAAGTGCCTCGAAACGCACGTCATGGCCGATCGATATCTCATACGTCGATGGGGTGTTCATCTGGACATGAGACGAATAAACGGTGAAGGGTAGTCGAGACGCCCAGCACACGGCATGGGTAGTACTCAAATCGCATATGCACCAAGGGCCTCCCAAACACCGGATTTTCCGAGATGCCCTGCTCAGCATGCAATGCCATAGAAAGGCCAATCCTCTAAAAGTTCCAGACGTGAGGCGCAGGGTGTCAGGATATTTGCGTGATCACCACACTGTCTAGCTGCAGATCACGGGTGAACGAGGTGGTGGTGGGTAGGGTGAAGTTTGTGAGCGGGCATGGATGCAGGCCTCACATTCCGGAGTTCGGATACAGTCTCAGTAAAGAGATCGAGGGGGGCAGCATCTTCGGTACGTCGGATCACGAAAGAGCCGCATGAAGGTCCCGAGTGTGATGTGTCGACCAGGTGGTGATTGATCGTCATGATCTCCTGTCGGGATGAGGCGGCTGCGCCCTCCGGCCCGGGTTTGCAGCTTGGATCATGGGACGACGGCAGAGTGACAGGAATCAGCAGTGTTTTGTTGCCGTCGCCAAGTCGGATCGTAGCAGTAAGAATGCCCCTGATCTGAAGCTTTTGGAATGACCTGCTATGAGACGTTCATGAGCTACCCCAGTAGGTAGATAGAAATCGTCATGTCGAGGTTGAAGTTGAGTTGGTGGTGTGGGGAGAGTGAGAGTGAGACGAAGTGCCGGGAACTTGGGCAGCATGTGTTACAGATTCTCTCGCTCCCCGCACACAGGGACCCCGCGGCCTGTCAGACGCAGCCCCGCGCCGCCCCTCCATTGTGCGGGGAGGGAGTAGCTGTCAACTGACCGCATCGGCGCAGAACCTCACAAGTTGACTTCATCTCACGATGCTCCATTTCACAGTAAGAGGTTCAAACACCCGTAACTTGTCACTTTTTTTTTTTTTTGAGTTGGCGCGCTGATCCTGCCGCATCATGACTCCCGTGGCTCACTCGAGCCCGTCTCATCTTAGTCTCACAGGCTAAGGCGCTGTGATGTGCCTGACTTTACATGGCACACGTGCGCGCCAACGCCACAACCAAGTTAAACCGTCACACGGCTCACGATGAACACCAGGACTCTGGTCAACCCGCAGTGAGCTCGAACTCAAAGATAGCCCAAGACCAAAAGATGTGGCAATCATCACACTCGTAGGACCGATCGTCTGGTTGCGCTCACTATGGACGGTGTAACACATGGCGGCAATTGACTTTGGCGTCGTACCTTAGCCTCATAGGGCTGGTATTAGATGAATCCATCGCATGAAGGCTGCCGGGTAAAGATGCTTCCAAACTTTGTGTTCACCTTGTTCGAACCTCACGATGGTTTTTTTTCCTTCTCTCAAGCAAGCAGTGACTTGTGACCGAGCTCTACTGAAAACTCGATTCACCTAAACTCATACTGATCCTGCCGGGAAGAACCTCGGTCACACGTGAGCAATCACGTTCATGATTAAAAATTCCTTCACACGCCCGAGCCACGTCGCTGAGCCGAGACCGAGGCAAAGGCGTCCTTAGACGAACGGAATAATTGCGCGGATTCCGTGGGCCAATTCGTCACTCGATGCTCATGCTCAATGTTACGTTACTCAATCGAACGTCAATGCTTTCCTTTACGTTACTCAATACCCCTAAGGTAGAATGTCAATGTCCCTATTACGAAATAATGTCGCTCAGAGTGAGTCTGAGGCATTTCAAGGCCCATGAACAGAATTTTCAACACCCATCCGATATCTACTACCTTACCACCTTACTAGCACCGCACCTCATGTACCTTACCTTACGTGAAACCCCCAATCCGTCAGCCCCAAAAACCACAGAACCAAGAAAAACCGTGCCCCCACGAAGCAAACCGCGGGATATACCACTCATCGACTCTTCATTCCCTTAGCCAATCCCACACAGACTAGTATCAATCCGTCGAAATCTGCTCATACGAATGGACCCATCTCTCATTGACGTGTCCACATTCCCCAGCATACCTGTAGGCACCAAGCGTAAGGTAAGGCACGCCGTGATGGGGCCCTCCCCTCCCCTCCCCCCCTAAGGCCCCACAACCCCAACACCCGGCCGGGCGCCCGGCCCTCCGAAATGCCGCCGGACAAGCCTTACGGAGACGCACTGCGGTACCTGCGCCGCATCAGTCAGTGAGTACCCAAGTTAATACCTTACACACCAGTGAAGCAAAACCATGACACACCAACACACACACACCACTTACACCAGACGCGATGCACCCTCGCCGATATCCGAAACGGCATCTTCCGACAATAAGACACGCTCCGTACTCCGTACTCCGTACACACATACACAGAGCACATACCTACCTTACTTAGTCCGGATACGCCAGAGTCCTGACACATTTTGACACCTCCCTTGAATGCTTGGCGCTTGATAGCTTGGCAACACTAACCCCTCCCTCCCTTTCTAGTCCCTGAAAGGCTGAAAAGCTGAGGGTCTGAACTCCAATCAACTCTCTTCACGCCCTATCCTGACATTGCCCTGCCTCCTTTACACCCCCCTGACTACCTACCTCATGCTGTTGTCTGCCGTACCTTAGCTTGTCTTGTTTCAAGTAGTACCAGTGCGGGGATCGCGGTCTCTTCCTGTCTGCCTGCTAGGTACCAAGGTCTATTCATCGCGCATCGCAAGCAAAATTGTGACGGGCAGGGGTCTGGTCCAATACACTTGGAAAGTCTAATAGCGCGCTCCGTAGATATTCGGCCTAATGGCGCAAGGATTCCTGACGGAGGGCCGCTCCGTCGAGAAACCAGGGCCCTGGGTTCTTCGCTACCTTACGCCTCTGCCAATGGTTTGGTTGCCTAGTTTTGGTATTCCTGCACCTGAGAGAGAACTAGCCAGCACACCATGCAAGGTATGGAAGGAAATAACTGTTATTGCTACGGACAAAGTCTAAAGTGATGACTTGCTTGAGATTCCATGCCACTCTATGCTCCCGCTGCACCACTGTGCTACCAACCAATGCCCGTTGAAAGAATCCCAAGGGTATCTTGTTTTCTGTTGAAGCCTTCGAAACCACCAACGCCGGATCGACCCATATCCAACAACTGTTCCTGGTGTTATGCAATGTCGCTTGAAGCAATACCGTCTTTAGAGACCCCTCGCCAATGTGCACCAAGCCAAATATGAACCCAAAATAACCGCCATATTGATGTTCTCGCCCAAGTCTCATGCTGAAAGCGGTTGAGCTCTTGCTGTTCACCTGCCCATAGCTCTAGCATCTTAGCTATGGCTGTGACCATGTCCGTGACTGTTGATCCTACTATCCGGGTCTCTCTCCCAATATTGTTCAGTCTTGTAAGGCTGATGAGCCTGCTGGAAGAAAGTGTCCCCTAAGCTGTTTTGAGTTGCCGCATAATCGTAGAGGCCTGCGTCGAGCCGATAGTATGAAGGAGTCACCAAGTCTGGGCTCTGCGTAGGCGAAGTCGAGGGAAGCGAAGCAACTGACAGCCCAGAAGATGGCGTTGGTGGCGGATACACTGACGAATGCGGCAACTGCATGCCCATTATCCCTGGCATGGAATGTGCCATCAAAGGTTGTGGATGCGCGTAGCTGACCGCCTGGACTTGGTGCCGACTCGTCTGTTGCATTATTGTCCCGGCAGATGCTTGTGCACTTCCGTGAGAAGACGATGCCGGACTTGGAACTCCCGTCGCGGAGCCTTGGTGAGAGAAGCCTTGCTGTTGTGCGAGATCTTTCGAGCGCTGGGCTTGCTGGGCTAGTTGAGCCATGCCCTGGCGTTGCCTGACGTTGCGCATTTGCTCAGAGTCCATGCCGTATTGGAACTGTCGTTTGCGATTCTTGACAACTTGCGAATCTTTTCGAATCCGCAGTCTACAACCTTGATCGCTGAGATGGCGGGTCAAATCCGTTGAGGAACTCATTCCAGGGTAGGACCGCGCCGTATGAACTTGGAAGCCGTGGGATTCCATCTCTGTCATGAAATACACCTCGCCACCCTTCATGTTGTACAGCGCAAATCTCAGCTTGAAAAAGCCCTCCATCTTGACAGAGAGGTCAGGAAAAACAAAGTAGCCTTCGTCCTGGCCATCGATACTCTTGTACTTTTGCAGGGACGAAACTGTCGATCCCACCAGACCTTTTGCACAGGTTTCGGGGTCCATTTTGGTTTTCTTATCACCGGGCTTGAGGTAGACTTGGACGAACAAGCTAGGGCCTATTGCACGGTTAGCGTCCTCCAAGCTTAGGTCGCAGACAGGGCTCAGCAGGATGATTTCGCAGCTTACTAGACAGAATGAAGTTTGCGTAATTCTGGTTGTGACTTCTAATGTCGATTTTGAGAATCGGTGGAGGGTCAATAGGTTTACGATCTGTGAAGTTGCATTAGGTACACATCGAGTAGCATTGTCAACCGCAGACGAACCTTTTTCTTTGCCAGTTGCTACTTTGGCGTGTTGCGGTGCTTGAGCAATCACCAGACGCAACGAGTCCCTATCCCTCATTATGCTGGGACTTGTCAGCTTCCACCCAATCTTCCCCCATCCATGATAATGTTGAGCCTTAGACATACTCTTGGGGGTCGGGAGCCGGTCCCGTGTGCCAACCAGATTGGTACGACATTTGTCGTCGTGTTTGATTGGTATACTTTGGATGACAATGTAATGTGTTGTGAGGTGTCCCGCGGTTCGTTATTCCTTGGTAAGAAAAGAAATAGCTGGTCTATTATGTCCAGAATATCCTGACACGTCGGAGATAGGGGCAGTTCGTTCGATGTTGGGCCAGTGTAGCAGGGTAGGTTTGATACCCGGAAAGCTGGTCTGCCGTGACGACGAGAGACTTTTTATCTCCGAAATGGGCGGCGTGGTAAGAAAGACGATATTTGATTATTCGAGTGCGAGGAGCCGTTGATGATGGATGCGGGTGGGTGAGGCTTATCTGATACGATACGTGACAGCGACAAGTGGTGGAAGAAGTGCAAGTGGTGGAAGGAGGAGATTTAATGCGACAAAGAAGTTGATGGTTGTTGAACCCCTGCCGGATGATGGTAGCGCGAAGTAGTGTACTCCGTACAGTATCAGGCGCAGATCCCTCGAGGTGGGACACAGGACGGCAGCAGGGGAGACTGATCGGAATGTTCCTGTGCGGAGAGGCAACAAGAGCAGAGTTGGAGTGTATCCAAGAAAGCGGCTCTTTTCTACTTTCTAAGTGGTCAGCGAAAATGGCCTTTCTCCCAGCATACCCACACAGACACAGCATGTGCTGGTGATATAGACAGGGTCTGGCCTACCTATGGCAAAGCAAGCTACACCCGTCCCTCTCAGTTGAGGAGCACAGTGGTACGTCGACAGCGCCGTGGCAGAAATGGACAACTCGAGGTCCACGAGTGGCGCGTAGCGGGCGCACGAATCGTTGCGCGTATACTTGTCCGAGTTTGCTACAACCACCAAAACGCAACCTAAACCTCTTTTACCTTGAAGTCGCCCAGTATGGAATCAAAAGTCGAGTGTCGGGTAAGATTGGCTTTGCTGCGAAGAGTAAGAGATGGGGACGAGAGCAGAAGGCTTCGGGAGAGTATCCGAGATGATATGCCGTTGAACCTGATGTGGTAGATAGATGGTTGATGAAAATGCAACTAGGAGGTAAAGCAGTGATCTTGATATAAAGTCGGGCAGGCCAACTAGGTCTCAACGGCCCTGGAAGCTGTTGTCAGGATCAGGGAAAGATGGGTGGAGTAGAAGAGGGTACCGTACCTCAGGGGTCGCATGAAGGGGTGTGTACAAGATGGAGACGTTTGGAGATGGGGAAGAGGCGTCCAACGACGAGGACTGGAACTGGGTGTATGGGATTAGGACTGGGAATACTGTGAAAAGAAAACGGTCAGCCAAGCTGCGAGCACTGAGCAACAAAGAAGCTTGGGGATGGCGGGGGGTGTGCCGAGGAATAACACGTCTCCGTCTCCCCAACCTGCCTCGCCATGAACCCTGTCCCAAGAGATGGTTCACTTGGCCAATGCTTGCCTGTTTCTTCTCTGACAGGACTGTCTGGACGGAGACAGCAGAATGAAGGAGCATTGGAAGTGGGAGTGGGAGTGGGAGTGGGAGATGGAAGGGGGGTGTGGCAGTTCAAGGTGGGATAGGTAGGATGCACGGTGTGTCGTACCAATGAATCCCCTTTTCTTTCTCTTTGAAAGGGGCTCTCAGATTACCGGGGATTTCAACCGCGATTTGGAGACAATGACGATACACAGAGAAACCCCAAGCCCATGTCTAGGTGCCGGACGTTCTAACCCAGGAACGAACAGTTCGATCTGAATGCAACGGGGTTCGCCTTCAAACTTCAAAAGGATGGGCAAGGGCGTAGCTCGGAAGATAGGGCCAAATGGTAAGTGGGCGTCCGGTTCTGTTGTCTTGGTCGACTGTGGGTTGCTAGAGCAGGTACTTCCTACACTTATCAGGATGCTTAGAAGAGCTGGATGCCAAATGCTGGACGGAACTCTTGGGGTGGCATAGACTAGGCCCAGGCCTTGGTTGCCTTCCGACGGGGGCAGAAAGATTGAGGAGAGACCGATGAAGAATCCCTGTGTCGCTCTGGTCTGTGCCGCGAGGTTCGAGTCTCTTGGCGGAGGCGTCCCTGGTCGTCCCGGGTCTGGTCAGTCGACAACCTTCGGCAAGAAGCGACCTGTCAAGCGGCGGTTTGGGGGCGGTCAAGGAAGCCAGGTTGACTTGGGCTGGACTCTGCTGACTTGACTCTCGTGCGGAAGTCGTTTGGCAGTGAGCGTGTTGTGCCGAGTAACAGATATTGCGAGCGTTCTTGCTACCGGAGGATAATCAATAATCCTCAATATGGGTTTGGTGATGCCGTTGAGCTTGGGTACTCCGATGTATCATATGTGGATGCAAGGCGGAAAGTAATCCGAACATAGGGTACGGAGTAAGCGTTTTTGCTGCCCAGATGAGTCTTGGTGCCGTCTTGTTGTTGATGAGCAATTGATGACTTGAAGATGAACAACGACGTGATGAAGAACGTGGCTTGGCCCTGAGACGAACGCGCAGATGAAAGAGAGGTCCGGTCGGATTTAGAAGCAATTTCTGACGGGTCCTGACTTGCTCTGTGCGTTCATGCGGCGAGAAGAAAAAGACGATGATGGACTAAGTCAGACACGGCACGGGTCCCGGAGATGGTCGGGAGGGAACTTTTGACGGGAGCATTCGCAGAGGGCCTCACCACATCAGTCGGGATGTCCAAGTGGATCTCATGTAAGGTTAATGCCGGCCAAAGTGAGGGCCTTGTAAACGATGAAGTGTCAGGCCAGGGAACTCTGAGGGGAAAAGATGCAGAAGAGGAGAAATGAAGTGAACGGAACAGATCTGATATTCATCAGTGGAGGGGAAAAGAAGGAAGTGAGGTTGCAAGGCGCGAGGCGCGAGAGTCAACGTCAAAGTGACTTGGTACCTTCCCTTCCCTTATCTTAGGTAAACAAGAATGATTTACCTCACAGAGTCTTGGATAAATAGCAAAGGGAAGGAGTTGTCGATTGACACGGAGGAAGAAGGTGGTGGACGGGAGAAGGTGGAAGGCGTTCACCTGGGACCTGGTCTCCCGTTCCTACCCTACCTTACCGTGCCTCCCCATGTCCATTCCGCTCAGTCTCTGTAACCGTTCCATGTCGGTATTGGCCATAACCCATGCATATCAAAAAGATGGGGAAAGAGACACTGGCAGGCAATACCCAGATGCATCCACACACCCATTGGAACTAGGTATGGAGCATTGGAGCGTGCAGGTTGTGGAATGGCAGGCACGTCTGGATCGACGACCTATTACACTAGGTACGTGTCTGTATACCTACCACAGTAGAGGCCAGGTCCGTAAAGTTGAGAGGGAAGGGGCGTTCAGATGGACCGCGGCGCGAAGGCCGGTTGCTTGCTGCGCACACAGTAAAGCAGGAAGGATATCCCTTGAAGGTAAGCAGTGATTGAGACGGGAGATGCGTGGACTACCTGAGTTAAAGGTACCTTGTCAGGCTAAAGTGACTTCCGTCTTTACGAGAAAGCACGGATGGCGGAAGTAGGCGATACTTGGTCCGTCCTCGAGACGGGTGCGGGTGTGTCGTCTGTGATGTCTCGATGTACGCCACAAGTAGACAGGTACCGCACCATGGTAGGTAAGGTACCTTAGTCGCAACTTGGTAAGGCAGGGCAGGGCAGGGCTGGGCTGGGCTGGTAAAATGAAGGCAGGTACTTCCTTCCTCGAGTTCAGTCCAGGATGGAACAGGAAACAGAGCAACAGACCACATTGGGAAAGATGGTCCTGCAACCTGCCCTCCTTCTTCTGCCTCTCTCTCCACACCTCGAGGCCTACCTGCTGCGTGGAGTCTGGACAGAGGCGCAGACGTTGGCCTTGCCTTAAGGTGTCTCTGCTTCATGTGCTCCATGTGCCCGAGAAAGTACCGACACACGTGTTGGACCGTGTCGAGGTACACCACCATGCGTTGAATGTCTTGTCTCTGCCTCAGGTAACGCAGGTAAAGTAGCCTGATCTGGAGCTAAGCTGAGCTAAGGCAGGTGAAGGTGGGTGAAGTAACGCCAGCTGCGTTGGTAAGGGTAGGAGCAAGACTGAACAGGGCAAGCTGCGAGGTGCTGCATCTGTACCTCAGGTTGGCTCACTTACCTACCTTAGGTAAGGTAGTCAACAAGAGGTGCAGGTGGTCCGAGTGATTAGGTCAGTGACTCGAGACTTTTTACCCTGACTCTACTGTGCACGAAGTACGTGAGTGAGAGTGAGAGTAAGTCAATGAGTGTGTGGATGTCGGGAAAAAAGGCAACAAAAAAAGACAGGGGAGAATCATTCGGGTGGTAGGGCCTGCATACGGAAATCGTCTCTGCTCTACCGTAGTCTCTGCGTTGTTGCTTCGCGGCTTCGCCTTGCACCAGATGGGAGGATCCCTGCTCTGTCCGGTTATTTTCTGCCCTGTACAAAGTGCAAAGTGCAGTGAATAAGAGACGGCGGGATCCGACCACAAAAAAAAACACAGACAGTGCCACCATAGATTGTATCTCAGATGAATCAGCCCTGGCATAAGGTCCCCTAGGGGTTTACATCCAGCTATTACGTGAACGCCAGAGATGGGCCGATTGAGATTCAATCGGGACAATCTCTTGTCTTTCCTCTCTCTCTTCCTCGATTTTCCCGCGGCATAAACGAATATTTCAGCAACGCGTAGGCACATCATTGCCATTTCTTGACCGTCGATGCTGCAAGTCACTGTGCTTTGGCCGTTTCTGCGGAGAGAAGAACATCATCCACGACCGGGTCCTTTTCTCCTCCCCTTGTTCGCCCCTGGTCAACCCCCACCGCCCATCATCTTCATCTCTCCCGTGCCTAAACTTCTTTCCTCACAGTTCACTTTTGTGTCTCCTCTCCGACTTCCCACTACCACTGCCTCCGTGCTTTCCACTTTCCCCCCTGTCCCCTGACGGGCAGAGAAGACAGCTTGACAAGATCCTTGACGCGAACATCCCTGATCCCTGCTCCTCTTGATCTTGCCCCTGGGGCCTTGGGTGCCGTGCCCGGACCGGAAGTCTACGGCTCCACCCTGCCGTCTGTGCGCGGCGAAAAAGAAGAAGTCGTAGCAGGCATCAAGGCATGAATGGAAGCTTCTGAGACAATGCTTGGACAGACGTTGGCTTGACGGGTAAAACGTCTTTCCAAGACCAGACAAGATTGACCGTTCTTTTTTCTTCTCGCGTTTATTTTTCCTTCCTTTGCACTATCCACGCTATCCGTATTGATGAAGCACATGCTTGACCCGAATCTTCAATCGCGCCCTGCCTCGGCCAACTCCGGGCTGCTCCACACGGGGCGGACTGGGCCACACGGGGAAAACGGGGGATTCGTCGAGGACCGTGAGTTCTTCAAAGTTCTTTGTCAGGACGAGAACCTCAGCTGACAACAATAACAGCACAGACTGATGCTCTATAAAGATTCGGATATCTGAGATAGATAGTGCCATCTCACACCAACTTGAGTGCTCAATGGTCACATACACATTCAGGCTGTGGTCTTGTCGTCCTCCACGCCATTTATCCCTGACACTCTGATGCCACCTCGGAGACTCGGGTAGGCATTCATACCTTAGCATACTGCGATATCCGCAATAACAATAGTCAGTTTCAATGCCGATGTTGGCAGGACCAACATCCAAGCGGCACGTCGAGGGTCCTGAAGCTCCGGAGAGTGGCTCATTTGACAGCTGTCAATGATCCCAGCCTTCCATTGCCTGTGCCTGGGCCTGGTTGGACCTTGCCCTACCTTAAGGTGCCTTACGTATCCATCGTCGTGCGGCCCAACTGACGAGGAACAGATCAAGCAACCTGAGCGAGGTATGACCTGACAGATTCACTTTCTTCTTGGTATTGATGCATTTCACTAGTTACCTTGATCAGGGCAGGAGAGGTGAATTCAAGGCACAGATGGGGACGATGCCCGCTCACAACGTGACTCCAGGTAAATTGTTCCTGCCTTGGTTGGCCGTACTGTGCGAAAAACATTGACTTGTGACAAAATACGATGTTCAAACACTGCAAGTGGGCTGGGGATCACGGTGCGCAAAGACAGAGCAGAGATGGTACTCCCCTGCTGGTTCTTTCCTCGCACAATGGCTCAGTGCAGGGCACCTTCCACCACAATGAGGTGTTGACGTGCGGATACGTACCGAAGTACTCGGGTTCCCTATTTCGGACCCATTAAATGTGACATATCCCCACTCTTCTTGGTCCTCTGTGTCCATCCCGCTGAGGAAGTGGATAAGTCCGCTGTCTGTTTGCGACTTTGCAAAGTCGTTCGTTCCTCCCATTCCCACTTCCATGTATCTGCAGTACGTATCCGTACGTACTATCGCCCTCTTCAGGTTGCTTCTTGTCACTTTGAGTTGATCGTGCGTAACGTTCAAAAGAGGCAGGTACTCATCGCTGATATTAAAAAGATGCCTCTACTTTCCATTGGGATAAGGCATGGACACCTGCCTTCCAATGAATGGGGAACGCAGCTACCTCAGTACCCGAGGTGAGAAACTTGACGCATTAGGTACGTCCCAGTCCCAAGGTTTCCCGTTGGCTCCTTCTCCCTCTTCCGTCTTTGGGTTGTCATTCCTTCCCTTCCGGGCGTCCCTTTCTTCCTGAGTCCCTTCCCATGACACATCCCCCACCCTCCTCCATCACACACCGGCATGAAGAAATTCGCCGAACACAATGCCACAATCCCATTCACGGCGGGACATGTTCAACATGCACAATTGTTTCGCTTCCGAATCGACTCTACGGATACTCGACATGCTTCTCCTTTTCCAAATCATTTGACACTGCCAGCATTCACTTCCTGTTCTTGCGACCTGCCTACCCAATTCGGCATTGATGAAACAAATAAACCGTCGTCCTCCGCTCCGGTCCACCTCCAAACCCTCGTCCACTCCAACGCCCTGCCAGTCAGCGCCCGCCTAACCCCATCCACCAGAGCGGTCGCTGGGCAGACACAAACACTTCAGATGACTCCGTCACCGACTGTTATTTCGCATATCACGGCAATGTCCGATGTGTTCTGTTTGGGAGAGGCCTCCGTTGTCATCACCAATGACATATCATCCTCCCTGGGCTTTCGACATGGCATCGTTTGCAGCTTGCCTGCATCACTCTGGCCTCGCATTGGGCTGGAGTACGCCCATCGGATCCAATAAGCCACCTCACGATAAATATCGCTGCCAGCTAAAACGAGGAACCCCCCCTTCTATGGGTCACGACGGCTATAGTCAATGATGGACGACATGATTGCCTCTCAGACCAGCCTCCTCGCTCTTGACGTTGTGTGTTGACCGGCGAGCAAGCTCTTCGGCGGGGCATCATGGGACGCGAAGGAGAATTTCGCAGTCTGTCAGCAATCACTCGCACTCAGCCCAGCAAACACCCCTTCAAACGAGCACCGCAAGGCTATGCAATATCAGATTCCTCCTGGAATTCTGCCCACCTTCTGCCCCTGCCAATCGCCGACACCACCTATTCCCCCTCTGCACCACAATGACCAGGTCGCGCCGCACCAAAGTCCGAGGAGGAGGCACTGCACTGTCTCGACCGGCATGCCACTGGCCACACGACAAGGCTGCGAATTCTACGAGTCTCTTGCAGCTGGACTACTGTTTCGCCTCAGCCTGTCATTCATCCCTGGGTCTTCTAGAAGAAGAACTCACAACTCTATTTCATACCGATGCCCCCTGCACAACTTCCTCTACCACAGGCGGGATGGCATCATCCCCCAGATTTCCATTTTGCCTGCTTATGCAACGCCTTTTTGACAACCTTCGTCGGCAATCTTTCTGGAATAACGTGAAACGCCCCTGCAGCGATTTATGGCTTCCAAGAAAAGAGCCCTCGAAATAGGTTCCATGTCCGGCAGGGGATCAGGGGCCTACTGATGAAGAACTATCAGCTGGGTTTCGCTCCGCTGATCAGTTTCTCCAGAAATGTCTTCACGCTGGAATGCTCGCA